CGCCAAGTCCCCCGTAATCCCAAGATACAAGATTCAAAATGAGACTCGGTGAGAAGGAAGAAAAAGAGTGATTAGTCTTTCAAGAATTTGCTCCGATAATGATATACGAAGGCTGATACTCGTCGTCCTAAAACATTCGCGTCGGAAACTATTATTTGTATACAACTATTTATTTACAAAAACATCAATCTTGATGGCAATTACAATAGACAGCCGCGCGTCACTCAGTGCATTAACCGCGTAACGAAGATTAATTGCGCTCCAACGATCACGGTATCGCGCGACGCACGCGTCGAAATTGTCGCGTTCCTCATGCGCGACAAAATGTCGAGGGTTCAGAATCCTAGCTGTCATCTGCGGGATCCGGGATCGTCGGCGTCGCGTCGATCGTGCGAAAGAGCAGTCGTTAAAATTTTAGGTGCACGGAGAGACACGCAGCGTCGTGAGATGCTAAATACGTCGTCTCTTTTACGATCGTTTTTACGATTGTTCGACGGAGACCGCAATTTCCTCATGCTCGCGCGAGCGCGCGCGCGCGCGGATGCGAGCCGAATATCAAAGCAGAAGAAATCGCTGCTATCTGTCTCTGGCGCAATCGACCGACCGAAAGTAAAAGCGACCGCGCGCACTTGCTCCTTGCACGATTTATACCGCGCTCCCGCGCCGTAATTTACGATTCCTTTTCATTTCTTTTCTTGACGGGGAGAAAGAAGGTTGCGCAGTTTACGACATGTTTATCGAGATAAAGTCCGACACAAATATAACGCAAGTATAACAGACTCCAAAAGTGCAGATGCTATAGATAAATCAAGATTTATCTTGATTTAATATCTTGGATTATTAAAAATGTTGATAATAGAACTTCTTCAAAGATCTCTCATTAAAATAAAGTTCGGTGCGCGAGAAAAAAAATTTCGCTGAAGTATTACATAAAATTTTGAATACAGATCTGAAAGTAATTTTGTTGTGGACCACACCAAAATAATAATCAAGATGATAGACTTCAGCGAAAATCGTTCTTTCCGCGTGACACCTCGAGACACGTCGAAAGTAATTGCGCACTCATCACGGCCGACAATATTTCGTTCTACCTTGTGGTGTTCCTGCAGAGATATCGGATATCTCGCTGGTGTATTGACGGCAGTCAGTATAATCGGGGAATATATACCGATGAATGCAACGCGCAAATTATCACAGGCAGGTATCTGACTAAAAGCACTTTGTCCCCATTCCCCCTCCCCCGCTCGTCGGCGAATGCCGCGGGTATCTACTTTATTCCGCGAAACGCACGTCTGATCCATTATTCAAAATGAAGAGAGCTGACGCTAAGCCAGCTGGCGAACGACATCGCAGCCGTTTCGGGAGGATTAAATATTATAAGCCGCTGTTATCTCTTTTTTCCGTTACTTAATTACATCGTATCTACGTACGATCATCGAATCTTGCCGGTGGGACCAAAAGCGAAAAACAAGATGCACGGAAATAACGGTTTTGCCGAAGTGTCTAAAAATTTAGATATGTATATATATGTATATAGATGTAAATCTGAAAGTAACTTTGTTGGGCCATCAAAATAATTATGTAGGACGCAGAAGCTAATTGCTAGAATGTCAAAACTTTTTGCGGCATTGCTCATCATATACTTGAGTCGCCTACATAATCATTTTAATGATTCACAACAAAATTATTTTCAGATCTATATCTAGTATTTAATATCTAGATACTTCAAAATCATTCTTTCCATGTACTATAATTAAAACTAAGTACGATTTTAATTACAGTGGTAAGTTTTATGTAGAATTATATGTAGAGTTTTAATGTACTTAGTTGGATAAACTATTTTATAGTTATTGTATACAATCAATCGCCATGTCTTTTCCTCTGAGTGTTTATCTATCATGCTATCTGTAATTAAAATTACTTGTTCAAGATACCCTTGCATAATCATGTAAGAAGAAATTGTTATTTACTCGAGCGTTGCGGTTTTAGCGCGAATACTCGGATATTCCGCGCGTACATACGTAAATAGCTGCAACTTGTTCGCGTTGTACTCCGGGAGCAGGTTTTTTCCTCGTATCCCACAAATAGCCCGAACTCGTTTGATTTCCGAGAAGTTCTCGCGCGCACGCGAAACAGTTTAATCAGCGTCGGAAGGGAAAACTCTCGGCGGATTAAACGAGTCGAACGTATTCAAAACGTTAGTCGTTTTCAGAACGTCGACGGTTGCGACACCCGGTATACGCGAGTTTCTTCGCGCGCGCGCGCGCGCGTGTACACGCAGGGCACGGCGGATCAAAGAATCAATTTAAAGGCGGTCGCTCGGTGCCGTGTATGTGTACATACATCATCACCAAAAACAATTTCGCCTTATTAAGAGCCCGGGGATTGTAAAGCTGACGAGTTAACGAGCCACCGGCTCGTTCCTCGTACGTACTACATACCGGGTATTACGCGAGGCAACGGCGGCATTATATTATTGCTTTCAGCTTACGACCTAGAAGGTTTCAAAAGCAAAGAAAAAAAATTCCCGCAGCAGTATGTGCCTTATGCGCGTCGATGGTTTTTATAAACGTCGACGAGAAAGCCGCTGTGCGCGGGCGGATTAATCCGGGACAAAAATTTTCGTGTCGACGGCAAATTAAGAAGAACGCGACGCAAAGGTCTCTCTCTCTCTCTCGGCTTACGTTCGACGTTAAAGTTTGCTGACTCCAAGTTTTGCGCGGAATATTACGTTGTACACACGCCGCGGTACTGGCAAAGACGTTAAAATCAAAGAGCCGGATTTAGCGGTGAATTTCTCCGCGCGTTCACGGTGGAGTGCGCTTGACGTTGCAAGAAAAAGAGGGAGAGAGGTGGTTTTCAAAAGTTAATATTAATATTCTGTTATTACCAACTTGGACATATTTCGCCACATAAAAAGTAAAGACCTAATCATTTCGAGTTTTTAATGTACTCGTTCCATCGTTGAAAAGCATTTCTTAAGGACGTATTAGCTGCACAATCTCAGCAAATATAGTGTATATTCGGAGCACAACAATTTTTGTCAAGTGTATTTGAATTTCAAAAGATTACTTTTGGCTTTAACTTTACATAAAATTAAACTACAAAAATGTTTTTGATAATTGTTAATAAGATTTTACATACGCATCAAGAATATTTGTAGTTTCACCGTTAAAATGTTGGATGTTACTGTACGTGTCTTCTACTTTTTGAACGTATCCGAGACAGAACAACAGATCATGATAACATCAAAATGATGTTAGACTGAATCGTGGCTAATCGAGAAATGACTTTTAATCATCATTTTGGTGCCACTTCGACTTCATTTTGATATCATGATGATTTTTTGTTCTGCTTGACATGCCGCGTATTCTTGAAAAGAAAATACTTGCTACTGATTGTAACTTATTGTTAGGATAAAAGTTGAAACTCCTAAATGTGTGATAAAATATATACCAAAAGTAAAAGTAAATACATTTGTTGGAATTGCAATTGTGTCCAAAGTAGTAACAGAAGTTAATAAAAGAAGTTAAGTTACAATTGTGCTCAGTTTTTAATTAATATCCTTATAACAAACAGTTGGTACACGTTTTCTTTTCTCTAAAATACTTTTAAGATCTTTGGCAAGCAGTTTAGAAGTTCTAAAAACCAACCATCATTTTCCATGTATAGCTAGTTAACGACCTTAACCAAAATATGCAACGTCGAAAATATAGCAATATACAAAATATAGCAGCATCAGAAAAATAATATTACCGCAATGTCAGATATAATACGCTTGTAATGAATGAATTGTAACGATATGTCCCACGTACCAAAATTTGTTAACTGCAAACGTTTTCTTTAAATATGGTTAAGAAATTAGCGAATATTCGCTCGCCATATTTGACGCTAAAAATAACTCGTACTCGGTCCTACAAAAATAATACGTTGTGCATACGCGCGTGTTGTCACCGCGAAGGAGTTCGTAATCGAAAAGCCACGGAGCGCTAAATTCGCGGTGAGAATATACGAGCCGATGAAGTCTTCCAGGGACCTACTTTCCAAGTTTCCCTCCCGGTTGGTCGTTTGCGGATCTGCTTTGCGACGCAAATCAGATCGATTTGCAGACCTAGACGGCAATTAGCACCGCGTGCGTGCCGTGAATCCCACTTCGGTGTTGCAGCGTCATGAAACGTGCTGCCGTCGTGTCGTGCTAAGTCCTTCGCGTTTGCGAATTCTTTTAAGACGCGTGCGCGACGTCAAGAGAAAAGGAAAAGGAAGACCTCGAGCTGCGCCTCGTTCGGCGACGAAGAGCGATATCGCGAAGAATCCACGGCCGTGGACATAACGAATGAGTGCAAGTGCCCCCCCGAGAAATTATTCGCATCGCGCGAATGTCGCGCGTTTACGCGAGATTACGCAAGAATGCGGCGATGCGTCGGAGAGTATCCGTGATTAATTATTAAACGAGCGAGAGAGTACGAAGTCGTCGCCCGGCGACGCGGGGATAACCGACGGCGGATTACATAAGACCAGTTAGCGTTAATCGAAAACGTCGTCGTGCGTAGATTGGATAGAATGAACGGGAATGACTTAGAAAAATAACTTTCCTCGCGCGACGTCGCGAGGCGTCTCGACGCGCACAGCCGCGACCATTCCGATTTCCGTCGATCGCGCGATTGTGAAATCGAGAGAAGGGCCATTTATTATTACTCAATGTAAAAAATTTATCTTCCTATTTTTTTCAAATTGTCCCATTTTCATCTCCCATCTCTCATCTCTTTTTAAAACCTCGAATATAGTTCAAATTAATTTTCTATAGCTTTTATGAAAATATTTTTGTCATTCTTATCGCGCATTTCTGTCGATAACTTTTCGAACAGAGACTTGGATATTTTCGCTCGCGGCGAAATATCGAATTAATATGTCATAGACATCTGGTTTCTCACGTTTGAGAAACACTGACGTTGGCGCTATCCATGGCGATCGTACTCACATACTACACACCACACACGTACCTCGGAGTTGCTGGTGGCGACGCTGGACAGACCCGGGGACATGGTGCCGGTGGTGGTAGGGTCCGGGCTCGCCGAGACCACCGTCGGGTTACCCGGGTGATGCGGCAGCAGCGCGGGGGCGTGCGGATACGAGGCGAGATGAGGATGCTGCGGCTTCGGGTGATGCAGCTGCGGGCCGGGCGGTGCACTTTGCACCACCATTGAAACGGGTGGCGGCCCGGCGTCGACCGGCGTCCTGCCGCCGCCCTCGCTACCGGCGCTGCCGCTGACGACCGCATTGCCGGCACTACCACCGCCGCCGCCGCCGCCGCCGCCGCCACCCTCGCCGCCGCGAAACGACTCGTGCAGGTATTGGCGCACCTGGTTCTTCTGCTTCTGCACGACGTGATAGCGAGTCGGATTCTCCAACAGCGTGCGCACCTGAAGAAAATCGACTGGACGTTAGCTCTTTATTTGCAAACAAAGTGCGAAACAACGATAATTAAAAAATCGATTAAGTTTCTCGTGCGCAATAATCACTGTTACTTATGCCTTGATTTTATTAACGATTACGAGGTTTCCTGATTTAACAAATATATTGTTATATTAGTATATTGTATCGCAATAGAAACAATTTTAAATAGATGAATAAGAAAAAATAAAGACACACTGTTACCTCTATTTTTTTTATAGACAATGTCAATTTTTATAAATGTTTTTTGCAAAGCAAAAATCTAAGGAAAATTAAACTGAGATATATTAGCATTTAATTCGCGAAAATGTGTGACGCTGTGTGACGAGACCGTTATTGCAGTTGCGTTCGCGAAAGCGAACGCAGCAACCATATTGCGTGGAGCTAATTGCAAGGTAAACCATTGACGACTCTGGGTGCCTGCTGCCTCTCGTATATCCTCTCACCGTCTAACCATTACTTTAGGGAGGTCTAACAGTATAGACACGGTGTACCGAATAGATCTATTAACGACGCTGCAGAATTTGGCTCGCCTTACTGCGATACGGCAAACTACCAGAACCTCGGAACTATAAGGTATCGTTATCTTAGCCGTGCCCGCCCTCCTGCATGTATATCTATATGCACGGAGCTTTAAGCGACGGAAACGCAAACAATGGTAACCGAATGCTTGACCCGTACGCTACTTGGATAACAAGACTCTATCTGGGAAAACCCCATTGCACGTTGGACTTGGGATACTTCGGTACTTACACCAAGTTCCAGCTTCAACGAACGCCCCAGTTTGGACACAAAACATCAAATACAAGGAAAATCAAAGGAAGAGGCTAAGAATGTCGGCGAAAGATCGTAGTACTTTTAATTATACCTTATCGAAGTATATATTATTTAATTTATATATACGAAAAGAGCGGTTTTGCTGAAGTATCTAAAAATTTGGCTAGTTACAGAGCTGTTGGATCATCAAAATAATTATGTAAAATGTTGATGCAGTGATTAAAATGCCAAAAGGTTTTAACATTCTAGCAACCAAGTTTGAGCATTCATAATTAACATTATTTTGATGGTCAGAAGAATCAGAAACTTGCGGTGGACCATTACACGAAATGTGTCGCGAAGCCGGGCAATTATATTGAGAAATGATTTTGTGTATTTGCATTTTGCTAACGTGAGGAAATAAATTCACTTTACTTTCTGATTTCCCCTCGTATAAATTATTAATTAATGTGGAATATGTACACAACAATATATAGTATACGATGCAACGCTCTACATTGTGTAATAATTGCTCGTGCGAAGGGAATGAGTAATCACGCGATTCATAATGTGCCATAATGTATAATAAAGTTAGGAATTTAATTTAATATAATAATGTTGATATCACGCGACGCAAAATAATTTTATCGTGTTGCGTGATTCGTGTTTCGCGCGAGCAATTTAGGATCGATCGGACGACGCGGATCGGACAACGTATGGAAGACGCGACGCATACTTGTAATACTTGCGGTGGAACATCCACGCCGATACTGGGCAACGGCGTAGGCGGCACTGGTCTGGGCGGTGCGGCAGCTGGCCTCTGCTGCTGCAAGCTCTGCCGGAATTCCGCCTGTCGCCTCTCTTGCTCCTGCAGCTGCTCCCGCATCAGCTGCAGCTTCAATTGCGTGCGCGACGTCGGCGTTGCTGTTTTGAACGTCGGCGGACTGAAAAAAGCCAATATTTCCTCCACGTAAGACTTTATCGAAGATTTCGAAGGGCGTTCTGGACGTATACTCTCGCCATTTATATCCGCGCTTATAACTCGCGCACGAAAGCAGTCAGCTGCATCATCGAGGAGACAACGATCGTTATTTTTAATTCTTTAAGCTCGAAATTTCTTTCCCAAACGATCACAAATTAAATTTTATTCGTGTAAATCAATTAATTTTCGTTTAATAATATAATTGAGCTACGTAAACAATAATCTTTTTAGATGTTATTTCGACAAAAATATCACAGTAGAAGATTGCTGCATAAGGAATAATTAACATATTACTAAAAAAAAACAAGTTTTTCCGAAAATAAGCTTGAAAATTTTGGGTCATAATTAATTTTAAAATGTAATTTTAGTCTAATAAGAGATGTCTATAAAATTTATTTTTTACCATCTGACAAAGTAGTATTATCCTTTGTGTAAATTATAGTAACGTCAAACGCGTAAACAAACTTCTCAGTAAAACGAGCAATATCCCGTTATCGTTTTAAGTCTTCTCAATCGAAGCAAGCTGACGGACACTGTGTCGAGCAGTACGAAATGAGGCTCAATCATTTACGACGCCGCGCGCGCGTTTGTGTCGATAAACGCCAGAATATTCAGTGTTGTCAGCTGAGCGAAGGCGCATCGAGTCCCAAGTCCGAGGCGAGACCAATTAATCTCATAGCGCAAACACACTATTGAATCGAAACTATCTCCGCGCTGACGGGAAGAAACTCCGTAAAGCCAATCGGCACAATTCGCGCGCGCGCGCGCGCGCGGCCAACTAGATAAGTCATTACGAAGAGAACGCTGCAGGCGAATAATAGACATCGCTCGTAATTACGTCGCATTGTTTAAAACGTCAATTTGCCAAATTGCTGGAAAAAAATCCTGACGGGAATTTTACACTGTAACGCGTTTCAGTCAAATAACAAGTTCCGATGCTTCAAACACGCACGCTATAAATGAGACATGCAAATAAAATAAAAAATTGTCAATGCAAGTTTTTCATTAATATAACAAAATATACAAATTGCGATATTAATGTAACAATTAAGTACATAAAATAAATGAATATTTCAAAGGGGGTAAAGGCACAAAATTGATTCAATATGTATTCAATATGAACGCTTTGCTATGCCTAGTTCACGTCTGCAAAAAGGTATATTTCTTGAAGTTGATTCGTTCAGACAACTGGGCAGGAACGTTCTTTATTAATGTCCCGACCGCTACCAATGTTCGAGAATTAATGACGCCATAATTCGAACGTAAAGTCGAGTGATGATATTACCGAGTCTTGGCAGCGTTTTCTACGATTCGACGATATTCACAAAAACGCGCGGAATCTCTCGAATTCGTGAATTCGCAAAACGGTCGAACATATATGTGTGTATGTAGTATGTACTATATAATATATATTATATATATATATATATAGTATAAAGCGCATAATTTATTGCGAATCGGCAGCTAATAAAATAAGAGAAAAACTTTCTTTGAACTCGAGGCGAATGCCACGGAAGTCGTGAGCACGGAATTTCGCGTGCACGTAGAATGAGAATCGTGGCAGTCGCATATTTCGCCTTTACTTCGATTGATATCGGCGCGAATCAAATTTCTCGCTCACTCACTATTAGCATTAAGAACAAATATGTCATAGAGGACGCATGCCAGGCGTCCATTTTACTGCCGCGGCTAAAGGACATTCCCAATTCGGGAACAAAGCCAAAATCTCGGTCGTAAGAAAGCCAAAATAGAGAGATTGTGCAATCCGGATCGAACGTTAGTTCCTGCCGCTCGAAGTGATCTTTCTTTCTCGCTGTATCACATTTATCGTAGGTGTAGCAGGTATATCCAATACAATATGAAAAATAAAGATAAAAATAAAATCAATCAATAAAGATAATTGGTTCTGCGGTTAGTCATTAATTTACTGTGATTGCTATGATTACTAATAATTTACTAATTTACGCAGTGATTAGTTATTAATTTATCAACCGATTTCTCACGTTGCCGTTGGATAAGGGTTAGAATAAATACTCCCTCGATAACGGAACTTTAGAAATAAATTCTTAAGACGGCTAAATGATCAAACTTTGAATTCGAGATTCGATCTTGCAGCCAATAGAGAAACAGAAGCCCCGTCTACAAAGGAGAGGAGAAGACACTTGAATATTCGACCGGGTCTTAAACTCAAAAGCCGTCGTCTTTGTGCGATTACGAAATTAAAAATTCTTCCGTTTCCAGTCGCGCTACAAGAGAGACAGAGAGAGAGAGAGAGAGAGCTGCCGTAATAAAGCTGTTACAACTTTTATAATAGTAGTACCGGCTGACTCGTGAAAGGCGATTTAATCAGAACACCGACTTTCCCAGAGACCATTAAAATGTCTTACGAATTTTTCTATCGCCTAAGAGACGGACTCGCGCTTTTTTCTCTTAACATTCTTATTTTTAAAAGTTCCGACCTTTTCATCAACATGTTTATGGAATTTTGTTAAAATTAATTAAAATTATAATTTTTAAGACTGTTTTTCTCGCAATACAATTAAAATATTACATGATGCAATATTACGGAAAGGCTTTATCTCACTTTTATTTTTATTAAAATTATAATGAATTATAATGAAATGTCAAAAAGAAATTTGATAATATTGATGTTATTTTTATATCGTTATAATTAACATTTTGTACTGTTTAAATTCTTTATTATATTTCTCCATTATATAATTAATAAATTTGAAGAAATAATCGTGACAAAAGTCACGATAGAAAGATCGGGTATTACCAATGTTGGCTGAATTCGCCGGAAAGCTCGCGACCGATTAAGAAACGGAGAACGAAAATACTCTGATGGAAGATTGGAAAAGTTTCTGATGAAAAATTTTCTGCGGGTAAGGTCGAAGTTGAAATGGAATTGGATACTTTCCTTCCTTTCGGATAATCGTTGTATTGATATTTGGTGGGGGAGAGAAAACGCGTCGAGTGCTCGCGATAGAGTGCATGCTTTTTGATTACGGCTGTCCGTATTGTTTCCCGACGCCGCTATATCGAATTTCGCTTGCTCCGTTACGCCATTAATTAGGCGAATTTAATATCGCGCCTAAACGAAACTTGCCATTGAAAATCGATATAGCAAAATTGCTCTTGTTAAGACCTAATTAAAAGCAGCCTTAGTAGAAATTTAATTATTTTCGTATTATTGTCGCGGAAAGGGAACTTTCGCAATTGTAGAGAGATGGATTGTAGTTTGTTCATTGAAACTTTATTACCATACATATAATTGAGAAAATTCAATGGAATAAAAGTAAATATATTAAATATTTTCATCGACCATCATCACTAACAGAACAGAATCTTTTTGCTATTTAATTAATAAGAATTCTCATTACGTACACAATTCCCATTCCACATAATAATCGCTAATTAATTACCTTGAAACTATTGATAATAGTGGTAATGTCAAATCCATTTACCGTAGCTGAAACATGAGCTTAGGTACATGAATTCAGGCGCCGTCTGATATTTCATTGTATATAATTCTCGTTATCGAACAGAGAGAGAGAGAGAGAGGGAGAGAGAGACAGTGTAATCGCAATCGCGTCGACTCTAAATACGCTCCCTCGCGAGAGATCTTGCGGCAAGCTTGACTTTTTATAAACAGTCGGCGGATCGAAGGTGGCCACAGCGCACTCGTATATTTCTCTTCGCGATATTGGATATTGGACGGCCGAAAATAATTTTCGACCGTACGTTGGATACCATTAATTCTCCAAGGTCACGTACGACTCTGCCCGGCGCAATACCCGCGTCGAGAGAGTTTCTCTTCCCCGCGACACTATACGGTATCGCACTTTTTGCCGGCGGGCCTTTATACATGTCCCGCTTAGAGAGGAGCGAAGAGGGGAACGACCGTAATACTGAATTTAGTGCTTATATAAAGAGCGACGGAGGATCGCTTATGGCAGCTTCATGCAAATGCGCCGCGAACCCACCTCCGATCCTCCTTCTTACTCACTGTCTCTCTATATGCGGTACGCAAAGAGGGATTCCTGCAAGAGGATCCTGTAGAGAAAGGAGCCTCAGTAGCGAGTATAGTGAACATGATGCCCTTTTCCGCCGTATATACATATAAAGTCGAGAAAATTATTTAAGAATATTTAATCGAATTAAGGATACGTCGAGGTAATTACGTTTTAAAGTTAAAAATTTTAGTATTAATTATAAATCTAAAAACTTTGTTACAAAGTCTATAATAATTCCTAATATGGCGAGAATATTACAAGGATATTAAAAAATAATATAATTTGAAAAAGAATAAATTATAATTTGTATAGAAAATTTGTCACTATCAATAAGCTAAAATGTATGATAAATTTCTTTTATCACAATGATATATTTCATAATTCTTCACCCGTCGATATTTTTCTAATAATTTATTTTCTAAATCTTAAGCCCACGCTTTGTATACCACGTAGGAAATCCGGCACTGGGACATCCTTGAGCAAGAATCGCCGAGCAGATATTACAGAACGTAGAAGACCTAGAGGACCAGCGGTATTAATGTCATTAGTCTCGAAGAAAATCGGCGGCTCGCCGTGTCGCCAGAGGTTTTATCTTCATTCCCGCGGAATGAATTAAGTGAGAAAATATAGTCGCCCTCGCCGCTGCCGCCGCGGCAGGCGGCTGATATAAATCGCGATAATATGGAAAGCAGCTTCTTTGTCGGATTAATGTATACTCCCGACTAAGACGTCGGCTCTTCGGTCGAACGGGGCCGTACGTGCGCGGAATTTCATTCGCGCCGAAGCGAAGATTATCGCCGATGGGTGGGCTCTCGATCGTGAAATTCGAACAGTCATTTACTTCGATATTAGGTATTCTCTAGCGCGGGAGCAAATTAACCCCGGAGTGCGCAAGTGAATTTAGGGCAAAATCAAAGTACAGCTGACGATGAGTCAGTTAACGTAA